ATTGGGAGGATGGTTCATAGTCTTCACTTAACTTCGTTGTTGGAATTCTGCCACTTATTGGGAGAGCGGATCAAAGTGTGCACTAAACATCACCGTCAGAATTCTGCGTCATCATTGAAATGACAGATAAAGTTATGCACTAAATTTTGCTGTCAGAATGCTTTTTCAACAAAATGATCTGTTCTTTAGGCAACCATATCGATGATTTGTCTATTTATGGAGGAAGAAAAGCAAACCTCCGTGGTCTATTTCACACATTAAATGCTTTTGTGAGTTTTCACAAGTTGTTGGACACAGACGATTTTAAGAAATTTTGGTAGCTTATTTTACATGTAGCTCTATAAAGCAACACTGTTTTTTATTTTATTGACGTTTGAGCTGCGTTATAAACGCCCATGGGCACCTTGTAAGGTCCACAAACAAAACAATCAATTTTGTTTGAAAAGGCCCATGTTTTATTTCGTTTTCATTCCCGACGTGCATCATCAAAGGCCTAATCTTTAAGTCTACAGCCACTTTTCTGAAGGTTCATCATAACCCCTTTTGACCACATTTGATCACATGATAATCATCGGGGGGAATACTTTACTCATTGGTAGACAAAACTTCCGTCTATTTGGTGCCAGCCTTTACAAGCGCTCCTGATGCCGTACATATGGGAACCAGGGCCAGCGTGATTGGTCATGGGTTAAGGGAAAGTGTTTTTTTGTTGTCACTCTCCGTGCATTCCCCTAGGGCATAAATGACGCTGGTCAGAGCAAAGTTGCCCTGGATCATGATTCTTAAATGATGACCCGATTCCGATATTTGGCTCAGTCTTATCAGAAGCTTCTGTCTTCTGTCTGCTCATCATATCCCTACACCACCTGTAACAATTGAGTACGGTATGTACATGTACAGTATACACAAGTATAAGGCCTACTCCTTGCTGACACTGTGTACTGTACATTGTAGTCAAGTTCAGTACGAAAGTGATCAATATCGTTGCTTATGTCTTGGTGCACTTGATAGTGGTCCTGTATCCCACATACATGTATCTCAACTCCATGTACATGTACCCTCATGTTCCATGCCAGCTTTTCAACCCAGGTCCCCATAGTTTATATGTACATGTGCATGTACATGTAACACTCCTGGGAGCATGAAGTGCCTGAATATTGAATGTTGCCATCTTGAAGGGCATAAGCTCTCACCAAGCTACATTTCAGTAGCTTCACTACACCCATCAATTTCTCCCCACCATGTTGGGTTTCGGGGTGTGCTGTCAAGTCAGACATGCTAACGTGACCAGATTCCAGTGACTTCATGGTCCCTTTGGGACTCCTGCCCCTGGAAGTATAGGATGTGGTTGTGATTCATAGTCTATGCATAAATAAATTATTATACAGATGAGGAGTTGCTGGGTCTCTCATCATCTGGGCCAGTGGATGACCTTTGTTCATCCCCTGGTAGACTTGGCCATATCCCCTGTGTCTCTGTCACTAGTTGCTCCCACACACCTTCATCCTTTGCAGCATAAGACTTTGCCATTTTCTACGAGTAGTTTACTGAGTACAATGATTTTGCCTAAAATTGAGTAGCTGTGTCAACACATGGAATGGAATGATATACTTGCCTATGGTGGAAAAACAAAAGGATGTCTTTGCAAAGAAAACTGTTTTCAAAAAATTTGAAAGGCAAAAAGATAAAATCTCTGCACAATACATTTGTAGAACGGAATCATGACATCAAAGAAAAAGTAATCCCAAAATCACCGCATTGGATAGTGAAATTACAAATGGTCAAACTACAAAATTGAATGACGCAAAGAAGAATCAAATGGCAAAATTGCCAAATATAATCGTGACATTGTGGGATCATGCAAAAAAGACACTGCAGAATAAAGTGGTGAAACCACCAAATGGAATGGTGAAATTGCTGAATAGAATGATGAAATTGGAAAATTAAATAGTGAAAATGCCAGATGCAACAGCTGATGCATAAAATCCCTGCCATATCATTCTGTATCAGCTTCATTGGATTGCCACGAGCCAGCAATGGGCGTCGCATGGGGGTGCTTTCCCCCAAGAAAAAAAAATTGAAAACTGATAGAAGGAAAAAAGGGAAAAAATGCTAACTAAAACAACAGAGATAAAAGGGGGTGAAAATAACCAAGTTGCTTGAAACAACATTAAAATTGACCCCCCTCCAGCCGATAATTAGTTATAATTTTTTTAACTAAGTGCTTTGCACCCTTCCCTAGGAAAGTACCCCTTCCCCAAAAACAATTCCCATGGAGCCAGCCACTACCACTGACTACCGGTATGTGTGTGCCCCATGGTATGGTAATCATGCTTCCATCGGTCACTATAATTAAACTGGAAAGTTTGTGTACACCCATTAAAAGAGAAAGAGCTTCCTTTTTGGATGAACTAGCAGAAGTTTTTACTGAAAAATTGTGATACTTTTAGATTGAAACTTTGATGAGACTCTCATCCGTGTCTGGTGGCTTGTGCTCCTTCCATTAATCTCAGTGAAGCATGGTCTGTTGACATACATTGTGTACAGCATACGTGTACGTGCATAGGATACCAGACTAGTTTGTGCAACACAGATGCGCAAGGATTGCAAAAAGAACAAAATTTGCATGCAAGTGGCCACAAAAGTGAATATTTTGAGATTTTTGGCAATTCATGGCACTGGTCAATGTTGATATCATCACAGTCTTAATAACAACTGGGGACTAGTTCACAGTCTGATTTCCACTGCCTGTTTTATGTTGGAGAAAGAAACATATCGGCTGGTGCTAAACATTAACATTCGACTTTTTGCTTCTGATGAATGCAGGGTCTTTTGTTGCCAATGCAGATTTTCAGCCCAAGCTATCATGCCAAATCAGATTCACCTAGATGAATTTGTTGAAGTACCTTTAGAAGCAAAATGAAATAATGAAGCTTCAGCTTAATGTATCATCTTCCAGTTTTCTGTTAAAATCATTCAAAGACTGTGTGATGTCACTTTTTGGAACCGATACATGTAAATTGCTGGTTTATTTGGGTAGCATCTTTGAAGGCCCATAAATTGAATTGTTTGTACTCGGGATAGATCCATGAAGATGCAGCACAATGAACCGGTACAAAGAAGCTTATTTCTTGCCCACAATTAAACTAATTGCATGATTATTACTTTGATTCTCCCTCAGGTTGGTGAGAGACACTGCCTTCGTAGACACCAGAAGGGCTACTCTCTCTATTTTGGACAAGAGTTCTTAGACTTTGAAAAGGTAAATTCTTTCGTTCTATTTACAGCACAAGATTTTCTGACCAATTTAAAGAGGTTTTGTTCGCTTCAGTGCATGTCGACCTGGGTGTCCTCATGTTGACCTGGGAGGGATTAGAACCCAGGTCACAGGGTTGTAGGCAATAAATCTGGCTTTCTGAAATTCAGACTCCCCCGGTTGAGTTTGTCATATTGGCATTAGACTCAAGTGATAGCTTTTCTCCTTTTGTGCTCATCGTTATAACTCCATAAGCAGCCAAGAAAGATTTCACGTCAAGACAACCAAACGACTGAGTATTTGTCATGTGATTCAAACAACCTTTTGCATAGTTTGTGAATTTTTCTTCATCCCCTAATCTCATCCCTGTGATTTGCAGAACTTAAGAATTGGTCAGAATACCTTGTTGCATTTACATGTAATTCAGCGAGGATGCTATGTGATTTCTATGGAAGGCCTTAATTTTGGAAATTTTGAAAGATGTTGGTTCTGTATGTTTTTTAAATTCCTTTCCCCAAAAGGTAACTTTTCCCTGCACCAAGAAATGTGCTTGTTTTTGTTTCCTGCCATTTTTTTATTCAAATTTTTTTTTTAGGCTTTTCCCTTTTCATCCCAACTAGTTCACTCACTCGCCCACCACCCGACCGGCCAAAACGTTTTTTGATATAGTTATCTGAACCTTACAGCATTCACGGTTACCAAATGTGTCAACTGCAAAAGTAGGGCTTTGCTGGCAGGATTGAGCATGTCCAGTCACCTCTTCCACTACTCAAATTCAAATTTGACCTGCATGGCTAATGAGGGCTATCAAGCTGGTTGCACACAATGCTTTGGCACTGTCCTTTCTTCTGGTCTATGACTTGTTATGTAATAAGACCCAGGTCTTCAATAGTCAGAAAGCAGCATCCAAAAAGCCAACACATTTCTGTAGTGCATCATGGAGGAAGGAAAAAGACATGTACATGTACCCCAATATGTACCTGGTGTTTGATCTGAACTGAGCGGATAGAAAAGCTTAACACTGACAAATTGCCTTCCTGGTTTGTATATTTACCCTCTCAATTTATTGGAAACTGCCAAATTACTGTACATGCATTTCAAATGTAAATCTTTAATAGTTTTATACATCTTCTGTGTCACTCTAATGAAAGTGTAAAACTCTTTACAAGTTTCACATTTGGTACACGTAGTGATTGCATACTTCAGTCTCAAAACCCTTCAATTTTTAAACTTGCTTTCAGAATTCCAAGAGTGCCTAGCACAGCCAAAGCAGTCTACCCTCATTGTGCTACCATCAACGGAGGTCTGGGAACCAGAAGACGTCAGCGTGCACCTGCTCCACTTCGCTACGCGTTCTAGTGGCCATTAGGGAACACAGCGCAGGTTGGTGGCTGCATCAATGTTACATTGGTTGTACTTGTGACCGGCGGAGCAATGAATTCAGGAAGGTCAGAAAGGGGTGAGTTGTTATCAAGTCATTTTCTTCTTGTTTCAAGAATGTTTCATGTCACTTCATACATGTACATGTAGATGCAAGGACCTTTGCCGATGTTGGTTAATTTTCACGCACACCACTGAAAACAGAAGAGGGTAAATTTGCCAGTTTTTGCTGTCAGTTTATATATACCATTTTCAAAGCTTTGCGTTGCAGATCCTGGCTGCTTGTTTTCATAACCCATCAAAAATTTAGCAGCAGAAAAACACAAAACGCTGTATGAGTTGTTAATTTATTTGGATCAATTTATTTACTGGCGCTGCAAACATGTACATGTGTGATTTGTGGTTGTCGAATCCTCAGGTTTTGGGGTCAGTTTAAAGTCAAGTTTCACATCATAGCAAAGTCACAATCAAGCTTTATGTTGGTGTGTTTTTACTTCAAGTGTTTAGAATCGACAGAACTTCAAGGAATACACTTAGCTGTACAGTTCAGAGGTTACTGAATTTCTTCTGATCATTGCATGGTACATGCATTGATGAGGTCCTACTTCAACAGTCCAAATTATTCTTAAAGCTTTGCATTCACATTTTACTTTGTCAAATAGTTACCCAAGACATCAACAATAAACTTGTGGCCCTCAAATCGTAGTTTATCAAGTTTTTTAATCAAACTCATCAGAAACTGTGAATAAAAAGATTTTTAAAAGCCGTAAAACTTTATTAATTTCATTTTGGCAATGAGTTAGTACTCTGAGATGCTCAAAGGTCCATCTTGTCTCTTCCTTCACAATCTGCAGTTGGAATAGAAAAATACAAATTTTTAAGTCGGCAGAACAAAGTGGAAAACAAATTACTGTGACAAATGTTTTGTGGAGATACTTTTGGCTTCTTACTTGAAATTTCATCCCCACAATTTCAAGGATTTTGACGACACTAAATATTAAATGAATGTTAGGACCTCATCAACATAATTCAAAATTCAAAACTCATTAAACTGTACAGCAAAAAAACATATAATTCCTAGGAGTTTGACATTGCTTGGCCAATTTTAAACACTTGAAATAAAACTACACTGACGTAAGGCTTGACTTTTAACTTTGTTGTGGTATGAAACGTGACTTGGAAGTGACCAACAAGACCTGATATTTGACCTCCACAATGACATGAAACTTTCTTGAAACTTGAAGAAAATGACAAGATAACGACTCTTCCCTTTTTTGTCTTCCTTAATTTGTTGTTCCTCTTGTTGCAAGTACCACCAATGCAACATGATGCACCCTCAACTTCTGTGTTGTGTTCCCAATGGACATTGGAACTGGGGTGGGGGGTGGGTTGCGCAGCGCGGGTCGCGGGGAGTTGGGGTGGGTTGCGGCGCGTTGGGGTGGGTTGCGGCGCGTGGGGGTGGGTCGCGGGGAGT